ACACCATATGAACATAGTGTTTACATTGTAAGACACAGATGTTGTTCACACGAACATAGGGCCGACATGTGAACATATGAACATAGTGTTTACATTGCAAGACACAGATGTTGTTCACACGAGCATAGGGCCGACATGTGAACATGAGTTGTGAATATGTTCATAATCGATCGTAGGTTACAAATCGGGCTGGAGAATATCGGATTCACGATGCATGAGGATTTATTACCAAAATCCCCTGTGAACAATTGTTCATAAGCAGCCCAATTAATTTATTGATTAATTGATTATTTTTTATACTCATTTAATAATGACCGTTTGACCAATTTACCCTTTGAACAATTGTTCATACACATATCAATTAATACATTAATTAAATTATTGTTTATTTAATCTCATTTAATAATAACCGTTTGATGATAAAATGAACGATTAAGATTGGTTCACATAGTTTGTACCATATGGTTGGTTTCTATTTGAACCAGCCCCTATATATATATATATAATATATATAGTACGTAAAACTTTAAATTTCAATAATACATTTACGAAGCATTAAGTATATAAATCATTAATTCCTTAAGGTTCTGTCTTATTTGCAGAATTGTTTAAGAGATTTGGATTTCAAGGAGGAATTTTGATTTTGATGAATTTGAAATCAATGGTGTGTTTGGTTTGTAGGATTTGAAATAAAATTGGATTTCATTATTTATATAAAAAAATTATAAAAGTAATTAAATTACATTTTTATTAATCGATTATTACAAAAGAAATGCTTTTAACATTTTCTAAAACTTTATTGCATACGATCCTACGAAATCCCAAACACTTCCTAAGAATTTCAAAATGCTATGATAGAAGGATTTTAATCAAATGTTAGTATTTCAAATCCGGACAATCCAACAAACTAAATATGAAATTGGAATGAATTTGAATTCCAAATTTTCTAGATCCATTCTATTCCTGCAAATCAAAGCGTAAACTAAGAAATTAATCTATGTGACTTTTAATAAATTTTCACTTTAAGTTTATTAAAATAATTTAACATACATATAGATATTAACATTCAAATATAACTATATTTGTTTTACTGGTAATTCATATTATCATTTATTTAAAAATATATAATTAACCACAAGGGTGGTATTTGATTGGTTTGAGTTTGGCTCCAAAAGTCAAAAGTATCAGGAGGTTTCATGTTCAAATCCAAGGAGAAATAAACATCTTCTTGTGGTCACGGATGTTCAAATGCGGTGACTCTGGGTTATCTGCAAAGCAGGTGGTCGACCTCAGATTAGTCGGCTCGCATAGCGGGTTGGATATTCAGGTTAATCAAAAAAAATTATATAACTTGGTATATTTTCTTCATAATAATAATATGAGTTTTTTTTTTTCAAATTATTAAAATACTTGATAAATTGTCGAATAAAGATTTAGAGTTGTATATAAAATTACATATCAACTTCATCGACTACAGAGATGGAAAATTGACTTGTCTAAGGACATGATGTCTACTTGTCTTTACGGATAAATGAAATGAGGTGGGGATGAGAGCTGATTTTTATACCCAAAATGGGTTCAAGAATGATACTACATGTTTTGGACGACGATTCTTTCTTAACTTTTCTAGTAGGCTCATTTTACCCATTTAAGGGTCCATAACTAACCCTAGTCCCCCTCTTGAGGGTCCATAACTAACCCTATCCCCCCTTTCTTTATTGACTATACTTGAATGGCCACTCTATTCGTTATCAAATCCTTGAACCACGTCCTTGGTTACGATGTTCACCATTGAGATTTGACCAACAAATTGGTAATTCAACTGTACCTTTTTTCTAGTTATTCATCAACTAGTATTATATTTATAGTTATGCTAAATTATTTTTAGCTTATTTAGGTGAAACTTGATATCATTAATTGAGATTTGAAAATCATTATTAAAAACACTCTAAGATTCATTGTTTTTTTTTTATTAACCTTGATATCCAACCTGTTATACGAGCCGACTAATCCCAGGACGACCATCCGCTTCGTGGGTAACTTGAAGTCAATGCATTTGAACATCCATGACCACAATGAGATTTTTTATTCATTCTTGGATTCAAACCTGGGACTTTCAGACACTTTTGATCTTTAGAGCCCAAACTTAAACCAATAGGACACCGCCCTTTTGGTTCTAAAATTCACTGTCATTGATTGAGATTTGGCCAAACTGATCTTTGCTAAGGAGTAGTTAGATGCAGAAGTCCTTTACAATTTTGTTTGTACGTGCTATTCTTATGCCTGATATTTGAACTCTTCATTTCTATAAATACGTGCTTATGCTTGTCCGTTTTTACTTCCTTGTCTAATATTTCTTTATCCTAGTTTGAGTCGTATAACCAATTCAATTATGAACAAGCACAAGCATTGGGATTGGATTCGGGTGTTTCTTTGTTCAACAAATATAGACAATTAGGCAATGAATCTCTTTTATTGTATATAGTAAAATATCATTACCGCACAAGCTCTTGGCTTTGCTAGATTCTGGAATAAGAATTTAAGGGGAGAGAAGAATTAGGTTACATAATCAACTAAAAGCCACATCGAAACGCTTCAATTTTTTTGAAAGGCAAAAAAGGAAGGACAAGGAGGAGAGCTTCGGCATGGCCATCACCCTCACCAAGCCAACCAATATATTGAACAAAAGATCCAGCAAGAAGCTAGACACAAGAGGATACAAAAATCCACCACAACAAGCGAAAACAAAAAGAAACAAAAACGAAACATCCCCAGACAAAGGCCAAAGCAAAACCCAAGCCTAAGACAAGCAAAAAGACTAAACAAGGTAAGGAGAAGAAGACCAACTATCCCAATTAAGATGAAACTTACGATTCATGTTCCCCATCCAAAGCTTGGATAAATTTTGAACACCTGGGAATGGGTCTTCACCTCTCTTCTTTCGAAACGCTTCATAACTGCTTCAAAATCCAAATAACAACTCTCACATTGATGATGTTATCCATCTAGGTAATCTATAATAAGCTTAGATACATTAAAACAATTAAGTATGTAGTTTGTTATTTTAAGCTAACTGTTCGTATTAATCTAGGCAGTCTTTCACATTACTAATCATATTTTAACTTGAATAGTATTTGACTGCTCATATCACATGGAGCGTTCTCCTATAACCATAGAATATTTAGAATTTCTTAGCAAAATATGGTATTAGTATTCTACGAAGCGTCTTCCTGTTTATATGCTTATTTATTCCCAACTTTAGATCAATTTTCTGTTTCTTCGTGTAAATATTGACCCGTGTAAGGACATGTTCTGAACCAAGAAACACTGCGTGCTACTTGATCTCGAGCCACCATAACAAGAAGTTGGATTCTGCTGAGATGCAAGTTCGAATTTTCAAATGGGTGTCGAGACAAACAAGCAAAGGAAACATTCTTGAGCATTGTGGATCGAGAATCCATCTCGCCTCTCCCTTGTTGGATGAGCTTCCCTTATAGTATAGGGTCATCCCTCATCGACCCTTTTATGTGTTTTGACCTTCAGCTCGGGCATTTGATTGCTTGTATTTTACTTTTCTTGTTTAGTACTCCTCGTATTATTCTCAGGTTTTTTCTTTCCTGTATTATTCTATTTTTTTAATCTTAATACGATGATATGGTAAAAGAAAACTTACATGATGTTTAACTCACTTTTGCTTATCTACCAATAAATATTTGACAAAGGCTATATTTTGTTATGATTATTTGTGACTCTCCTAATTAAATTTGTTGGTTCAGCCCCCTGAACAAGAAAACCATGGGTTGATGTCATAGTGTTTGTTTTGCCTAGAATGAAGGCGGGTTTTATTAATATTATTTCAAACTTTTTGACGGATTAATTATCATATAATACCAATTAAAATAAAATAAGATAACACTTGTTACGAAAGGGTAATGGGTGTCATTTTTCAACCAGTTTTTCCCCTTTTTAGAAAACAATTGCAATCTGTGGGCACGAGTACCCAGTTTCTGGAAGGGCACAATCGGAACTCAAAATCAAACCACCAGCCAGTCTCCTTACTTCTGCCCAGACACATACATAATAAACAACCAAATTCTCATCACCTAAATCACTCAACAATGACGCTTGGATTGATAAACGCAAATCCGGTTGTACGTGAAAAGAAAGAAAGAATCAGTCGATCAGATGTGCATCTTCACTGTGACCTCCATGACGCCGTTGATCCTCTCGAGATTTATGATATCCTTTCTAATTTTCAATTTGCTGTTGTTATCATATCATCAGTTATGGAATGATTCAGGTGTCGGCTTCGATTTCTGGTCAATTTTGTGGAGATGATGTTATTGAGATCTTTGACTTTAGATCGATAAATTTTGTGAGGGATATAAGAGATCCGGAGCATCCTTATTCGTTGGAACAGCTAAGTGTTCTCTCCGAGGAGTCTATCACCGTCGATGAGAAGCTCGGCCGGATACTGTGAGTCTTTTTCTTTCTGCTGCTTTGACTTTTCATTTTCGGAACTGGTATCTTCTAAATGAATATCGATTTTAATGTTTTTCTTGCATGTTTTTTTATTTTTATTTTTATTTTTTTTGGAATTTAATATATTTCTATATAACGAAAATATTTTTGCTAAATTTACAATTGAAAAGTACAGAGTGAAAAGTGACAAGACTCCATTATTGGACTCTAATCATGGAGCGGTCGACCAATGGTTATTATATTGCTATTTTCATAATTTCTTTTACTATTTTCATAATTTCTTTTACTATTTTCATAATTTCTTTTACTATTTTTTGTAATTATCGTCTATATATTTTAGTTTATTTTAAAATAAATATTTATAAAATAAAATAAATGTTGTATTTATATTTTACTATAATCCAAAGTAAATGTTAATTTTAGAAATATTCTAGATAAATCCATTTTTATATTTAATTATATAAATGTTCGATAATACCTTTATATTTACTATTTAAGAACTATACTCTTTTTATTGTCGTTTACGCTATAACCTAAATTATACCGTTATATCATTTTTTAACTAGAAGTTCATAAAACGAACATTTCATTAACAGATAAAAGTTACTTTACGCATCTAAACAATAATGCATATGCTGTCGAGGGATATATATTATTGTGTTTTAATAATGTAAATCTTATTAATAATATAAAACACTTAACACGTAAATGCTTTATAGCTTTTAAAGTAAAAATAAGTAAACATCAAAATTGAGGGATCATTTGTGTATATCTTGGAACCTAACAAAAAATGGTGTAGAGGAATAGGTGTTTCACTATTCATTACACTTTTTTGGTGCAAGATATAAAAACCCCATTAAACCAGAATAGTGTGGGTAAAAAGCAAAATCGTGCAAGAAATAGGGTCCCCATTAAAGATGATTTAAGGATTCGTTTATCAAACATTTATTTGGTAAGGGCTTACCAGTAAATTCAATACTATCACATACTTACCGGATAAGATTTTAGTCCACCAAAACGGCATCACATACAACAGTTTACCCGGTAAGCGTTAATCGTGGTAAGATTCGTCATCATCACTTACCAAATAAGACTCTCGATCTTTGTCTTCGTTCTTACCGGATAAGATTATTGGTTCTTGTCATTTTTATCCATTAAGGTAATGTGACTTGGTAAGTGCTTACTCGGGTAAGCGTATAGTAAACGGTCCATAAGTTTAATTTATGTTTAATTGGTTAAGGTTGATTTCATGACGTTCTAACTTAACATCACTCATTTTTGAGTAAATTATTTTCGTTAATTGCAAATTAATAAATCTTAAACCAATTATTGAAATTTATTAGTACCCATTTATGCAATAGACTTTAGGGAGAAGGATATATGAAAGCACTAATTTCTTACACACTTTGTTTTAATGTTTTTTTTTCTTTTGGTTTATTATTTTTACTTCAATCTATACTACACCTTTTTTCTTTTTCTAAATTCGATTTTATTGTAATAAATTCATTTTGAGTTGTTTCATACTTTATTTAATTATTAGAGATTTTTCAATAACAGATTTTATATATATAAGTAATTATTATTTTTCCTAACAAAATTATATAAATAAAACAGTTTACAACTATCTTAGTATGTCAAATAAAAATATTTCATAAAATCTCAGCAAAATAAAAATAATAAAATAAGTATTACAATGACGAAACTAGTTGAAAAGTAAGGAAATAGGAGAAAATAATATACATCTAGTTATCAAAGAGTATCTAGTCTAATGATATGTGAATCTTTGGTCTCCTAAGAAGTCAAACCTCATCAAAGGTGAAAAAAGGTGTGAGTTTATTTATTCTATTTTGTCGTATGTAAATATTATATACTTCAAACAAAAATATACAATTTAGTTTTTTTATTTAAAAAGAAAATTGTAACCTTTAGAAAAAAAAATGCCACTTAGAAATTTTTTATGGCTGCCATATAAAAATTAAATTAAATTAAAAAAAATCATGTCAGCGAATTAAATGAACATGTTATTTAGGAAAGAACCAAACGTGTACGAAATATATACTTTCTTAGCATCTAATCTATCATATGGTTTTTGATAGGTTTTTAAAAGTGAAAAATCTCATTTTAAGAATTTCAACCTATTGTAAAGTATTTTGTGAGATTTTTGTCGGAGATCGTAACTCCATGACCTATTTTTTCAGAGGTTTTTTGTATTTAGTTAGTTTTAACTTCATAAAATTTGCCTTAGTTGTTACCATACCTTTATAAATTCATTTTTTTATTTTTATTTTATACAGTTTCTACGGTTGATACTTGATAGTATGTTGATTATTTTGGGATATTTTGCCTTCTTCTCAAAGTGCAAATTTTCAGTTTCATAAAAAGTTAGATTGCAAATTATAACCAATACTAGCATGTTAAAATTTGAGTAGAACCAGATATATTTCAAATAGCTTGAAATTTAACTTCTTTAGTCCGATTCGACCACCTCAATCGAAGGAGTCAAACATGAGCCATTTGCAGCATCGTCAAGTCTTGTTTACACCTCCCTACCTTCCATTATTGAATGGATGCTATGTGTTAGAGTAGTTATGTAGTATGGATTATGGAAGCAAGCAAGCAACTTTGGAAGAAAATTTGAAATGCAGTAAACCCCCCGAACATTTGTCCTATTGACAGAATGACCCAAGATATTTTGGTTAATTGCAATGGGCACCCGTAACACTGCCAAATAGAATTTAACTGCCCTTTTTGCAGTAGTTGGTGAATTTTACATGAATCGTCCCTAGTATTTATCCTAAATCAGCAGATTTTCCCTTATATTGTAAAATCTTATTTGACCAACGACAATTGGATCGTATTTGTCTTTTTAAGCATATATGATATTTACATACGACAACAAATAAACTTAGACAACCTCATCTTTGGTGAGGTTTGAATCGTGACCTAAGACAGTAGGCACTAATTACCACTTAATTAGAGCAGTGTTGAGTTTGAGTGTTGATGTCTTTATCAAATTTATGGCGAAAATAAAGCCCACAGCTCCCTCCATTCATGGGGTATTTGTGCTTTTCAATGCCTTTGTAGTAATTTATGGGAAAGTAGTAAACTTTATCGAAATGTCATGGAAAAAAAGTTTAGAGGAAGTGTATACAAGAGGGATATTTTGTCAAATTTGCACCCTTTGTTATTTGGACTTTAGTGCAGAAAATCAATCATTAGAACGTGAATAATCAATGTCCTTAGGATATTATAAGAAATAATGAGAAAATTACACAGATAGTGCTAGTGCAAAATTTACATAACAAGGTCAAATTATTCTTAACTCACCTAATGGGACAAGTGATATGCCTAAAGTTCATATATATATATATATATATATATATATATATATATATATATATGGTTCACTAATACAGTAAGATTCCACTATTCTTTCTATGTCGGACAAAACATCACAACGAATCTTACTATGAAAACTATAGATACAGCATGAAACAGATAAAAGAGAAAATTAGGAAGCAAGTTCTAGAGGCCATTTACAAAATGTTTGCCGGGTAAGCGCTTATGGATAAGAGTTACCATCCCCACTTATCTTGTCTGATAACATTCTCGGTCATCAAAAAATGGTTGTTTGTTAGCGTCTCTTAACCGGTAAGCACTTACTGAGTAAGAGTCTTCTCCGGGTAAAAGCCTTAGTTGTTACCATACCTTTTAACGGGTACTTGTCATACTCACACAGTAAGTAAATAACTGAGATTGGCTTATATGAAAATTAGGGACGATTATGTTACTAACTGCAGCATTTTTTGGTATTTTCCATTTATATTGACGGTTGAGTTGTTGTTAGGATAACTTTCACCCCAACCATTCAGCACTGCAGTATGGCAACTGTAATTGGTCTATGCCTCAGAGTTAAGCTGAAAGATTGCTTCCCTCCACATTTCAAGGTCAGCTACCTCAACGTATAACCCTGCCTGAATCTAGTAATCTATTGTTTGTATAGGCTTCCAACTTCTAAACATCTCATTTCTATTTTCACCAGATCCTTCAAAATTTCTGTACAATATCTCTAGAAAAAATTTAAATTTAATTCTAAGAGAAGATTACATCATTAATTATATTATTAAAATATTCTATATATTTAATAAAATATTATTTTTATCTCCATATTTCTTGGTTAAGGTAATATAAGTTGGTAAGCGCTTACGCAGATAAACCGCTTAGTTTCTCAATTTTGGAGAATTTGTTGAAACAAAAAACTTACCAAAAATATCCATTTTCTTATTTAGAAAAATGCATTTAGTTTTTTTTTGTAAGATTTCAATCCAAATTTTACGTTATTAATCCTCAAAGAAAAATCGATGACATTGATGTTGGTCCATAAAATTTCTTTATTATATCTTATTAACGGACATTTTTGGTGTTCGATTATTAGTAAAAGAACTTCCATTGAAGTATATAAAATCAAACGTTGCATCTTTTGGGACGGAGGGAATATGGACAATCTTCATTGACTCATAATGATGTTTAGATTGAGTTCATCTCCCTATGGTGCTTCATTGTTAATCTTATATCATCATTTGATGCTCAAATACCACAGGTAGACATCAAAGTAGCTCCTGGATCCCATGCAGATGAAGAAGCAGGTAAAAGCCTTGGCTATTAATAGTTATCAATCATGTTTAGAGTCATTTGAATTTGTGCAATAGGGTTTGTAACCAGCAACCCTAAACCGACCCGTACCATTGCACCCAAATAGCCTTATGTGAGACGTAAATGAGGTACACAAATGTCCGCTAGGTTGCTGGCTCAAGAGCTTAGTGCTCACAAGCCCAATCCCCAAAAGAATTGTAACTCCTACACTGTAGTAGTCGCCAGACTCGAATCCTCGCATGTTGGTGCAAGTATACAACCCTTTAACTAACTATGCTACTCCCTGGAGGCTTCATAGTTATTCGAGTTATTCCTAAACCACACCCATCAACATCTTCTCCATTTAAGCTGCAGCCACTTGGTGCTTAACAAGTAAGTTGATGAACTTCTAGCAATTGATGTTAACTGTAATCACTTGTCTCATATCGGTAGAAAATTGGATCTGTGAGCTCTTTATTGTAAGAAAGTTGTGTGCTATCAATAAGTTCCATCATGGTCTTAATTAGTTAATATGAAGTTATTGGCTTTGGGCTATATATATGGGCATTACAGTTTGATGAGGTAAGCAATTTGTGAATTTGCAGTGAACAAACAATTGAATGACAAGGAAAGAGTTGTGGCGGCTATGGAGAATCCTAACCTTCGACAACTTGTTGACGAGTGCCTTCACTCGAGCGAGCTCTAATCACTGCCCACTCGATTAATGTATAGTAAGCTTACTCTGGTCCATGTCGTTTGCAGTGTCTGCTTTTGGTAATTTGTATAACGAAAGTAACACTCAATTTCATTATCGATCAAAATCCTATAACGTTCTATCTGGTATTGAATAGAAATGGTGTTTTACATTATGACCATAGTTTGAACCATTGGATGAGTAAATGACCAAATACAAGACAGGTTATGGTTCCATTCTAGGTCCCGTATCAGTTTCAGTCACTGAGTGAGCCAAAAAATACTTCTCTCAAGTTTTAGGGTAAGTGGGAAACTGGAAAAGAAATAAAATAATTGAAATTCAATTTAGGGTTGCATATTTAATTAGATCAAGTATTAATGAATGACTAGGGAAAAAATACTTAAATATTTAATAATTAATAAATCAAGTTGGAACAATAAGATAATCTTTGTGGTGTATGATATCTTATGGTTGTTTGTTTACTCTTAATAGTTCCATTAAGAAGCAACATTTGAATCATTAAGAGGTGAATCTTGTTTGGCAAAAAAATATGTCTTTTAATGGTTCTAAAACCCTCTGAATGATTTTGTATCTTGGGCCTCCCTAACCATTCAATGCCTTATTCGTTGTAAACAATTACCAAACAATTATATTTTATTTTGTACTATATCATCATTTAATTATTCTACTTCAAATCATTCAACAACTGTTAAACAGTCTAATTAAACAAACTTATAACAATTGATCTGTTTGGTTTAGTACTATATTGACACACCTAATTACTCGCTAAATTAATATATTTTGAATTTTCTAAGGATAATTTTTTATAGTCTCGATTTGGGACAACTTAAAATTTCATTAAATTTGATAAAAATATATTTTCAGAGGTTTCTCATTTAATATCATAAATTAAGGGGTTGTTTGTTTACCTTTTAATAGTTTCATTAAGAGGTAGCTTCTAAATCTCTACGAAATGAATCTTGTTTGATAAAAATAGGTATGTCTCTTCATGGTTTCAAAACTATCTGAACAATTCTGTATTTTGGGTCTCTCTTAATCATTTAGCATCCTAATTTTACTCTTAACAATTATATTCTATTTTGTATCATATTATAAGAGTTTTTTAATCATTTTGTATCAAACTATTCAGCAACAGCTAAACAGTCACTAAAATCTTTTCTTAAATTAACATAACTAAGATGCTAAATGGTTCCATGGGGTTGTGGCGGCTAAACTAAATCTTTTTTCAAGATTCATGCAAACTCTTTTCGGTGTTTCGTGACTCCTAGAGATTAACTTGGGATAATTTTTAACGGGTGACATTATTTAATTATAAAATATATGGATATATTTTATAAAATTAATATTAGTTTCTTAGTTAGTTTATTGTTTTTCTATTTAAGTTTTCTATTGTAAGGTTTTTTATAAATATAATAAAACTGAAATTAAAAACTAAGAAAATGGGACCCAAATTCGGGTCTGGGATGTAAGAAAAGTCTTGCAAACCAACTTCACCAAGAAAATTTGTGTTCTCATTGTAGTTTTAAATATATATAGTGACACACATCAAATTGATGCAGTGACACTTTCCATGACCCTATATTTTTTTATACTACAACGGAGGAACGAAACGATAATGTATGCAGTATGTACTACATTGGGTCCGTCCTTGGTGCCTCCGCTTCGGGTTTGCCTCTTTTCTTTCGTCTGATGCCTTTGTTGCTTTAGTTTTTAGTCTCTTTTGTTATGGATGGTTGTTTCGTGCTTGTTCTTGGGGTGTTTGGTTGTAGTTTCTTGTTCCTTCTTCACAGTTTTCTTGTTGATGGGACGGTTGCTTATTTTGTTCCTCATTCATTGTTTCTTTCCATTTTTGCCAGAATAAACTGTTGCCTTTTAAAAAAAGCATAACTAAGGGGATGTTTATCAAACACCTACCTGATAAGCACTTAATTCAATACTTTCACTTACTCACCGGGTAAATTTTAGTCAACAAAAACGGCATAGTATGCCACAATTTACCCTGTAAGCGCTAACCACCGTAAAAGTTATAGCTCTCACTTACCGGGTACGACTCTCGGTTCTTGGCTCGCTCTTGTTGGATAAGATTCTTGGTCCTTATCCGGTAAGGTAATGTAATCTAAGAAGCGCTTACCCAGGTAAACATTTGGTAAACGACCCTTTTTTTTTTCCCAATATGCTTATTGTGTTTGATATTTTATTAAAATTTAAATCTAACTGGAGCTAATCTTTAAATTATTCTTGCTGCATCACAAACTTTTAATGTCGAATCTCAAAATGCACTAAAAATTTATGAAGAATTCTTGATGTAATAAAATTTCAGCTTTTTTTTTTTTATCTGTTAATCAATACATTTTCAATATTTAAAGAGGTTTTATTGTATTTTCACTTCATCCCAAAATAAAATGTCTGGAATAAAAATGAGACACACTTTTAAAAATATGCAATTATTACATTTTTTAAATAACTAAGGTCATGTTTGGTAAACTAGCTAGTTGATAACTCATAACCTAACTTTTAGCTGATAAACTAGCCAATTGTTGATAAGTTAGCTGATAAGCTGGCTGATGAATAGATTATGTTAGCAAAAACTAGCTTATAAGCTTGTAAATGATAAAAAAGACATCTTGAAACGATAGTCAATTACAAATATTTCATAATATAATCAAAATAAATTTTTATTAATATAACTAAAACACATTTTTAATAATATAATATATTAATTAATACAAACAAAATAACAAATAAAGATTAAATAGTATACGATATGAATTCAAAAAAATTAAAATTGATTAGTATATGTATATTATAAATTTTGAATATGTTGGAACAAATTTTAGAAGAAAAAAAAATGTACGTTAAGCTATACTTTTAAATAAGTGTTATATATAATATGAATAAAAATAAAATTGGTAATTTACATATTAAACTAAATATATTATTAAAAGCATTTACCATATTTAATTACTTATGAAATAAAATAAAGGAAAATTGTACCAAAATGAAACCAACTTTCACTTGACTTCTATTTTGGGGAACCAACTTTTAAAATTGTCATTTAGGAATCTCTATCAAACTTTTTGTTAATTTAAGGGTTTGATTGATCTGTTGACCTGTTAATCCTGACATTATCCAAATCTTTTTGCCAACTAAGATATTTCACGTTATTTTTTAATTTAAAACTAATATTCCACGTCATATTAATTTTTTATTTTAAAACTAATATTCCACGTCATATTTAAAATTGCAAAATAATTGCAGAAAAATAACTAAAATTCGTTTTTTTTTCCAAAAAGTTATTGTAATAAAATCTAATTTTCATTTCAAATCTCATTTTTTTTTTTAAAATCATATATCAAATTATGAGTAAAGAAGTCCATTTTTTAAAAAATCTCCAATTTGATATCTGAATTTAAAAAAAATGAGATTTGGAATGAAAAATAGATTTTATTACAATAATTTTGTAAAACAAAACGAATTTTAGTTATTTTTCTATAATTATTTTGCAATTTTAAATATGACGTGGAATATTAGTTTTAAAATAAAAAATTAATATGACGTGGAATATCCTAGTTGGCAAAAGATCTGGATGATGTCAGCATTAACAGGTTAACCAGACCTTTAAATAAATAAAAAGTTTGATAGAGACCCCTAAATGACAATTTTGAAAGTTGGTTCCCCAAATAAGAATCAGGTGAAAGTTGGTTCCACTTTAATGCAATTTCCCCATAAAATAAATATAACTTAGTTTTTATGTAACTTACATAAACATTTTCATAATTGTTATATTTTCTTTTTAACAACTATTTTATATTTAATATTAATTAAAAATAATCAATATAATTAATAACATTTATAAATAATTTATAATTATTATCTATATA